GCGACCCCCCCACGCCTTCGGCCAGCGCCGCCACCGGGGCCGCTGATGGGGGCACGGGGATCCCAGCTTTACACGTCCCTCTACAGAAGGAATATTCAGAAATAGTCAAAAGATCGATGTTGGGATTCTTTTTAGCCACTTCGGAATATTTTTAGAGTATTTTGGATATGTCGTCCAAAATCGGCCTGTAGGAGGACACGCCCGACCGAATCCCTGGTCTCCGACGACATGACGTCGACGCTGTGAAAAAAAAAGTCACGACCTCGGGGGTCTGGCTTCTCCAGGTCCGTCTGTGGCGACGCTGACAAACAAAACGGCAGGCGCAGAAACATGCAGGGGCTCCTCCTCTTCTTCCTCCTCCTCCTCCTCCTCCTCCATTCCTCATCCTTATGAATAACTTCTCCCTGTCGCACCCCAAGGCCAGTTTTTAGGGCGGGGCGGGCGTTTCGCCTGAGACTTCCTCACTACTGATGGTTCTGAAGCTTAAACATTGGCAGCAGTTTCACAGATGAAGGGCGGGTCGTTTTCAAAATGTGGCTCTCGCCTTAGCGCCGTGCACATTCGGTTTGAAGATTTGCAAGAGCTTCACGGATTGAGAGCGGGTCGTTTTCAGAACGTGGTTCTCGCCTAAGCGCCGCGCACATTGTTTTTTTTTTATGAACAAAGAAAATGCAAGAGCTTCACGGATTGAGGGTGGGTGGTTTCCAACATGTGGTTCTCGCTTCAGCGCCGCGCACATTCGGTTTAAACATTTGCAAGAGTTTCACGGATTGAGGGCGGGTCGTTTTCAAGACGTGGCTATCGCCTAAGCGCCGCGCACATTCGTTTTTTTATCTGCAAGAGTTTCACGGCTTGAGGGTTTTCAAAATGTGGTTCTCGCCTTAGCGCCGAGCACATTCGTTTTTTAAGCATGCAAAAGCTTCACGGATTCCCATCATCAACGTGTCAGAAATTCCCCAATCAGAGCTTGCCTTTGTAGGGGTCCTAGCGGATTCATATGGTTAGGTTAGGTTTGCCGCCGATTTTCGCTGCACGCCCGGGTGCCCAGGTGCCCGGGGGTGCCCGGGGCTCAGGTGCCCCGGGGGTGCCCGGGGGTGCCGGGGTGCCCAGGTGCCCGGGCGTGCCCGGGGGTGTCTTCTAGCCCAATAGCCCTAGAGCCCGACAACTCTATATAGCCCTATAGCTCTATAGCCCTATATAGCTCAATAGCCCTATAGCCACCTAGCCCTATAGCCCTGATTGGGCTTTTTTCTCCGGTATCATAGTGTTTTGAAAGGACTCAGGATTACGCGGGCGCAACAGTTATGTTGATTCGCTGTGTTGAAGTCCCAGAAATGGTGTTCTGGCGCATTTCAATATTGTCCAGGTGCAACAGTCAGGTTGATCCGTGGCGTTGGAATCCCGAGAACAATGTTCTGACATGCTTCGGGATCTTCAAATGGCTGTCTTTCAAAGAGGCAAGTTCCTTCAATGGACGTTGTAGGGGCCAATGAAGAGGGAGCTTGGAGGGAGGGTTTATTCCAATATCGTTGATGATTCTTGGGTTTACATTGGTCCTCCTCCTCCTTTTCCTCCTCCTCATTCTCCTCCTCCTCCTCCGCATCCCCCTCCTCCTCCTCCTCCTCCTCCTCCTGCTCCAGGTCCGTAGCCATTTTGGCTCAAGCCGGCCCCAAGCCCCCTGGTCGCCATTTCCCCCGCGCATGGCCGGGCCGGAGTTTGGCGCTGCAAGGGCTTGATCTGCTTGGGCATGGCTACGGGAGGCCAGCGAGGGTGTGCGCCTCGTCATGTGCCAGAATCATTGGGTAAACAATGGGCTCGGAAGTCAGCTGCAAATCTCGGTCGCCGACTTCGCAAGGAGCGGGCTCAGGCTGCCACGATCCAGCTCGTGGACGACTCGGTCAACGCTGCGCTCGACACCATCGCTCCAGACGGCGCCCTCCTGGAGGTGCTCACGGATCGGCTGGTGACATTGGGCAGAGCGCTCGTGCTGCACCACACTATCGACGGCCATCTCGGACATCACCACCACAGGCTTGGCGATGCCCTTCGCGCAGTAGACCAGTGCATGGTACTGCCGAGTGGCTGGATGCAGTTGGGCCGCTTAGTCAAGCGCCAGGGAGACCGAGCGCGACATTAACCGTTTTTTCAAGATGTGGGTGATCGTGACCCGCTCTTCGCCGCTGCCGAGGCCGTCGCCCGTGGAGGCCCTGCGGGTGGCACCACGTGCAGCGCCGCGGCGAGCCCCGCGGGGGTGACGCTTGGCGCTGCCGAGGCGACGGCGGCCATCGGCGGCGGCGGCACCAGCACGCCTGTCTTCGGCACGAGGTGCACCTGCGGCACGGTCACCTTCTCGTCGTACGGGGGGATACTTGCTGGGGTGCCGCGTGGCACGGGAACGCATCGTGCCACAACGCGGCCCACGGTGCTCAGGGCCGACGCAGCGGTTTTCGTACCCGGCGGCTTCATCGGCATGCAGGCCACCGACGGCGAACTGGTGGAGACGCGTGGCAGCAGCGGTTCGGCTGGAGGGCCCCTGCGGGGGGGGACTGCCCAGGCGGCTGGCCGACCGCAGGCGGCGGGCGCTGGCGCGGAAGGCGGCTGGGCGGACGAAGCCGTTGAGCCTGGCTCGACACCGACCTCGCCTGGGAGACCCAGCTGCACGAGTGCCATCCTCGAGGAGGAAGCCCAGCACATCTTCGAGGTGGAGGCTCAGATGCAGAGCTGGGCGCTGGTTGGGCCATCGAGGCGCCCTTTCCTGCGTCGAGCCCGCCGTGTCGATGCAGCCCGACGCTGGCAGGAAGAACGCGCGCTCCTTCTTGGTGATGCCGATGTTCTGCGGCCGCCGACGGCCGAACGGGCAGCTACCCCCACTGGGCCGCTGATTGACTGGGCCAAGATCGGCGTTAGTTAGTTCAGATGTTGCGTGTGTGGTGCCACGATGCATCGCCTAAGAAGGTGGAGTTGTTGTATTCAACATTCAGTGTGGATGCTGGTCAGCGCTGACACATCCAGAGTTCGTCGTCGAGTCTTTCTTTTTCGCCGCGGGCTCGGAGAAGGTCAGCATCATGCAAGATTCGCTTCGCGATTGATCCATTCCATTCCATTCCTTTTCCTGCTCCTCCTTCTGCTCCTCCTCCTCCCCCTCCGCCTCCTCCTCCTCCTCCTCCTCCTCCTCCTCGTCCTCCTCCTCCTCCTCCTCCTCCTCCTCCTCCTCCTCCTCCTCCTGCCCCCCCCCCCCCCCTACTCCCCCTGCGCGCGTGGCCGATCCCCTCCCGCGGGGCGCAGTTTCCCAGCCACTCCGACGGCGTGGGTGCAGGGTCCTAGGGACACACCAATCCAAGGAAAACAGATCCCAGGAGTCCCCATGCGGTCTGGAGGTTCGTCTTCCCCCCACGTCCCATATTTTCCCATAGAGGAGCACAGATCCCAGGACCCCCCCTATTCTTCCAGAAGTTTTCGAGATTCGTTTTCCCCCCACTCCCCATATTTGCAAAGTGCGTGCCCGCGAAAGTTGACAAAAAATAGCAAACAAGCAAAAAGTGTGCCTTCCTCTAGATTTCATCCCCCTTGGCCCATTCCGCATGAAGAACATTTGATGTCAGTCGGGATCTCGTGGGAGGCTTCTCGGAGGCCTCTTGAAGGCAGTTTAGACGACTCTTGGGGGCAGTTTGGGGGCCTCTTTGGGGGGGGTGGGCGCTCTTGGGCCTTCCTGGGCGCCTCGTGACCCCCTGGTTGCCGAGAGGCATGTTCGTATCAGCGCCACCGAGAGGGGTACACCGCATTCATCTCTATACCCGAGGCGGAAGGCTCGGATTTTCGGTTCGTGTTCCCTCTTTGGGGTTCCTTTCGGGGTCGTCTTGAAGCCCTCTTGGGCCGTTTTGGGCGCCTCTTGGGTTGTATTGGTGCCGTTATGGGGCGGTCTTGGAGGCCTCTTGGGTCATCCCGGGGAGGCGTTTTAGAGACCTCTTTGGCCGTTTCGGAGGCCTCGTGGGCCGTCTGGGGGCCATCTTGAGCGTCTTGCAGCGATCGTTTGGCGACGCGGTGCCCTGTTGGACCGTCTTGCGGGCGTCTTGGGGGCTCCCTGGGTCGGTGATGGAGCCCTACTGGGCCCCAAAAAAGTCCAGCGCCACCACGCCGGGAACTCCGGGGGGCACGCGCGAAGCCCAAGAAGATTTGAGAATGTGGGGCCCTGGCACTTAAGAGACCCCTCAGGACTGAGGCCCGGGGCTCAGGGGATTGAGCATAGGACCTGAGGGCACGCCCACGCACGGTGGCGGATGCGATGGATCGTAGACCCTTCGCGGCGGATCCCGGCTATTTGCGAGTAGTTCCTTTGCCAGTAGTGGAGCGCGCGTGCCTGGCTTCTTGTCGGTGCCGCGTCATAGCTCGTCAAAGTGCGTGTGTCATGTCGACACGCCGTAGTGCGTCAGAGCTCGTCGCCCCCCTTCGCACCCCAGACATCGGGCTGCTCCAATTTTTCGATGCGTGGGCCCTGGAGGTCCGGACCACTTCCCTGGGGCCAGGTTTTTGTCCTGAGCCGTCTTTTGACGCTCCCGAGGCCGAGGGCCCCCGGAGGCCGAAACCAGCCAGAATCCGTCTACTCCAATTTTCGCTGGAGCGTCGGATCTATGGGACGAGGAGGAGGAGGAGCAGGAGGGGGAGGAGGAGGGGGAAGGGGGAGGAGGAGGAGGAGGAGGAGGAGGAGGAGGAGGAGGAGGAGGAGGAGGAGGAGGAGGAGGAGGAGGAGGAGGAGGAGGAGGGAGGAGGAGGAGGAGGAGGAGGTGGAGGAGGAGGAGGAGGAGGAGGAAGAGGAGGAGGAGGAGGAGGAGGAGGGGGGGAGGAGGAGAGGAGGAGGAGGAGGAGGAGGAGGAGGGATGAGGAGGAGGAGGAGGAGGAGGAGCATGAGGAGGAGCGCCCCCCCCCCCCGCGGCCTTCAGAAGGCCGCGCACTGGCGGTCGCTCTTGCCGAGGGCCACCCGGTGCCCGCAGCCAAGCATCAAG